CCCCACCCACCCCCTTGTAAATTTCAAGGACTGACCCGCTCTTTCCAGTAAACGAATGCGGTATAATCAAATAAAATGAACTTGTAATACGAATCATAACTCCAACATACCTTACAGCACCAACTTTCTCGGCATAGAGAGCTCCAGTCTCTGGGGAAATTGGACGCTGTGAAGGATCAGTAGGGTCAAAAAGTTCTCTCCAATTAATTTGAGTTCCAACAAGAATAAAAGGCGTAACAGGACAGACTTCTCGAATTTCAGGAACCCACTTCGTAACCACGGCTTCGAGAGAATTCGTAAATAGATTGGAAACAGAAAAACAAACAAGAAATATGTCTGCTTCTCGGTAGAGAGACGTTCTTGACTGTTGGAAGGCATCTTCACTGTTCGAGTTTATCACAGAAAGTTCATAAGATTTTCCCTCCACACTTATCTCTCCTTTCCAGTGATCAGGAATTTCTTCTTCTTCGTCGTCATCAGATTGCACATTTTGCTCATTGTGCAAAACCTTAAAACGCTCGATCTCTTTCCCCTCTTCATTGATACACGAGGCCGTCGAATCAAGCACTTTTTCGATGGAACTTTTTGCAGATGTTTCATTTGGTTTCTTTGGAGATAAATCAGTTGAAATTCTTATTAATAATTCCTTTTTGTCGACATCCTCATTCCCGACGATTACGCACTTGACTTTTTTCATGTTTTTGAGGTGATGTGTTTATCCATATTCTCATCTACCTGCAAAACGAATAAAAATGAAAAACTAATGGAGGAGCAAACAAAAACGATAGAGGAGGAATCCGAAAGTTATTAATTCATAATATTTTTAGTAGTTTATGAAGAAAAATACCTATATTTAACAATTATTCGCCGCAGGCGCAGTGAATATCGCATAACTATGTACACGATTAGAAATCTCAATGTTCATGTGCTTCTTAAGCCTTGTTTTGAACTTAAGTTTTAGTTTTGAACTACATGTATGAGCACGACGACAGACCAACAGAATGACAAATTGCTTGCGCAGAGAGCCAGCATGCACTTGAGACCGTCTTCCTTTGAACTCTTACTTATTTTTAGATGTTTCCTAATTTTATTATTGTAAAAAGACAAATCGCTCATAGATTTCCATTGACTATCCTCTTATTGATCATAAATTTGCCAGACTTACTAATCTTGAGATACTTTCTCAAATGAAAACGTTTTTCCTAATAAGATCACTCTTGTACCCAGAGTCCTCCAGAGCCTTCCTGCTCTTTTGTCAGTGCCTGGTAAGAGCCAGCACGCTGACCAAAAAGCCAGAAGACTCTAGGCTCTCTGAAAGGTATGCTGGGAAAAAATGGTAATCAGTGAAACGTTTTCTAATAATAATAATGAGGATGATGAGTTGCAAAGCGACAGTGACAATTTCAAAACTTTGAAAACACAAGTGAAATTTAATCCTCAATTTTAGTCTGCCCCATACGATTACCCGTTTATCAAATATAGAACAAAATTCAACGAAAGAAATCCGTCTTGAAGCCAATATGTGCTTAATGCCTGCACGCTGTCATTAATCCTGCACTATCAAATAAAATGTAGTTATGGTTCAAATAATTTTATTCAGAATTCAAACATAAAAAATCAAGTCAAAAACCATAAAAACATGCTTAAAACTAGATTCCTACCAACAAATTTCTTAATCTGAATCAGAATCCAAAGGAAAAAGCTGATTAAAGTGGCGTTTTCACTGATTAAGTCCAGACCAAGATGATTGTGCCGAATTATTTCCTTTCAAAGTCACATTGCAGCTGGTGAAGAGTTAACATTTGGGATGACTTGAGTGGTCTTTCCGAGACTCATTTACCGAAAACACATATCCAGACACCTGGAATCTTTCTATTACTCTCATTTTCACTTGAACGTTTTAGTTTTCTTATAGTTTCTTCGCCTACCACTGCAAAACATGAAGCCATTTTGGCTTGCAAAAAAGAAAAGTTTACAGTTTGCAAGCTGAACTACCAATCATAATTTAGTAATTCGGCCCTGCGAATTATAGAACAAAGCCCTCCTTCATAAGCCAATCAGCAAATCAGTATTTTGCCTTGTATGTGATCATAGTTAATCTATTAACTATGATGTGATGATAACAATAATAATAATGTAAACTTTATTATGTTTTCCAAATTCAATCGTAAATCTCGCTATATATATAGTATAGGCAATTTACGATCAGCTACTCAAATCTTTTACACATAAGTACATGAAAAATACTTACAGTCAAACTACCTCAAGCGTGAACACGTAGAGGTCATTAATGACTTTATTTTTGGATTCTTGATTTCATTATTGGATTCGAACGTTCATTAATGAAAACGAATCTTCAATATTCAAAAAAATAATAATTTGAAAATTAACTTGGCTTTTCTATATGCCAGGCTTTGAAGATTCGTTTTTAATAATGAATGTTCGAATCGAATAATGAAATCAAGAATCCAAAAATAAAGTCATTAATGACCTCTACGTGTTCAACGCTTGAGGTAGTTTGACTGTAAAACATATAATTACACATTTTTTTCACATTTAGCTGTAACGAAAAGTTAAAACTTCATCAAGTCAGGGTCATCTCAGACTTTGTTTCTACAGCAAAATATATAATAGGTTGTTCTAATAGCATTGTTCATGATTTTCCTTATTACATATTTATGTTGGTTTTTGTCAAAATCTAAATATTCTAACATTTCAATAAATGTTGTACAGTCACTAGAAAATACTCCGAGGGAACTTATTTAAATATTAACAAAGTTTACATGGTTATACAGCAATCACTATTTATAAAACTCATGAATAATTAATGAGGAAAACACAATAGAAATCATTGTCCGTGGAGGAGGTTGTATATCTGATACAAAATCGTCATGAATTGCATAAACTTTAACTCCAATTTTCTTAGCCAAATTCAATTTTATCTTTAAATTGTAGTAGAACATGAATGTATACACCTAGACGCTTCATAAGTAATACACAATATTCGTGTCCGTGTTGTATCAGATATACAATCACTCGCCTTTGGCTCGTGGTTGTATATCTGATACAACACTGCCACTCATATTGTATATATAACTTAAATCACTAATAAGTCGTTTATATTTTTCCTTCTTACAATCAGCATTATTCTTAAGGTTTGATTCAAAGCCAACAGTAAGTTCCAATTTATAGAGTGTACTAGATTTTCTTAAAATCAAGTCAGGGCAAAAACTATCGCCAGTTATAATTGAAGGACTGTGATAATTATCAAGGTCAGCATAAAGAGTAGAATTGTCAACGGGTTTGAGTGATGAGGCGGTAAATTTGAGGACAGAATTGTGGCACCAGGAATAATAATAATAAAATAATAATAATAATAAAATAATAATAA